CTCCAACCCCTCCTTTCGCAACTTGTCAAAAGTTTCACCTTCCCAAATATTTTGCGGGAGAAAAAGGCAAATTTGTTCCCCCCCTCGGCCATTTTTTGTCCCGCAGGGCCGCCAAGAGCCAGAATCATATTGACTCGCAAACAGGACAGAGTCGCTTGCCAATTTGTCCTCGCACATCATGAGGTATCAGCCACAAAACGGAAGTTGATTGTGTCGCGAAAATGCAGCGGACGATGTCGGGAAGGTGAAAAACTGCACGTTTGTCGGTTCATTGCAATAAAACAATGGCTTGACTTGTCTCACTTTGGAGGACCGCCGGAAGGAAGGGGAGGGAGGGAGGGAGGGAGGGAGGACAAATAATACACTAGAAAGTGTTTGTGCCGCCTGGAATAAACAAACTGGTCAACAGAAAACAGTCCGGAGAGAGAGAGGGAAAAAGTGCTGGACTTGAGGGCTGTAGTTTTACGGCGTGTCTGAACACAGGGTGAGGTCACTCTTGTCGCTGATGTGACGATGATAGAGGAGGAGGAGGAGGAGTGGGGGAGGAGGGGGAAGAGGAGGAGGAGGAGGAAGGGCAAGAGAGGGAGAAGTAAAGTGAAAGAGTAAGGTGGAGGGAGAGGAGGAGGGGTAAGCGGAGGGGGCTTAACTTTACTTTCACCAAAAAAACACAAAAACCTTTTCCCCTTTCTCTTTCCCCAGCCAACAACAACAACTACACCGAGCCGGAGAGCGAGGAGGAGACTATCCAGGTCATCAAACTCCAAGCTCCGCCCAAGAGGCGGGGCAAACGTCTGATGTCAGATTCTGACAGCCAATCATCCGCCTCCGCGAGCGCCAGCTCGTCGGTAAGCTCCACCCCTTCCAAAGACGCGTCGATTCTGATTGGTCAATCTCAGGACCCGCCGGGAACACCAGGGAAGACAGGAAGAGCGGCGTTTGGATCACCTGTCAAAAATTCGAGACTTAATATTCTCGGGGATTTCTCAGCTAGCCTGGAGGATTCGAACCGCTCACCAAAAAGGCTCAAGTCTGACTTCGGCCCTCTACCTTCGCCTGTCAGATTCTCGCGCCTCGCGTCCGAACCGCGGGGCCATGAAAGGTCAATGACAGCTCAGCAAGACAAGTCCAGCCCGAAAGAAATCCTTTCGAAGAGGGTGGGGTGCGGCTCTTCAACAGCAGCAACAGCAGCAGTATCTGCAACAGCAACAGCAACACTTTTTCCTGGTACGCTGCACGCTGAAGGTATTTCCTCAAGGCCTGGGTTCAATCTTCCGATAGACAGCGGGCCTCGACCGTTCCAGACCCCACCCCCACCCCCTCTGTCCAACATCGCTGACCGATCTTCCGAACTATCAACTCGTTCCCCCAGACCAATCCTGACCCCCACCCGAACTCCTAGTTCACCCCGACCCACCCTAACCCCCACCCGACAACCCCCAGAACCTTCGCGCTACCCCACCACACCAACACAACCCAAATCTGGCGACCCCCTCCCCATAAACATCAACAGCCAGCTTCCTAAAACACCAGCATCAGCTCCCATCTTCAACCCCCACAACCAACGCCACCACCTTAGCCCCCCTCCTTGCGGGGCTAGCGGTGACGTCATTAACAGCTATGACGTAGTAGGAAAACCATTAAATTCTACGTCATCAACACGTGGCATACGTATAGATGAAAGAGAGGAAGGGCTCCCAGACGATTCTTCAACGGTTGAGACTGCAATAAATGACGCTCCACTTTCCCACAACATCTCAGACACCGAGGTCAGAAGCCAAAACTCTGCATCAGAAGAAGGTACGAAACGAAAAGAGACAGACGTCAGAGCAGTTGAAAAACCCGCTTCGAGCATTGTTACGTCATCAGACGCCACCACCACGAACAGTATGACGTCATCAGACACAATTAACAATGTGACGTCACAGGACACTCCAAAAGTGCTCAGAATCCGCAGAAAGAAACAGGAGCCGACCGTCTTCGTGTTCCCTGACGTCACGACCCCTCCAGAACAGAGGAAGGACGAGGTGGACGGGTTCGAAACCCAGATGGACATGGATGTGGGCGGAGACTCTTGGGTGGGCTGGACCCCACAGTTTGGAAGCCACGCCCCCTCCTCCTCCTTCTCCTCCTCCTCCTCCTCTCCGTTTCACCACCAAGGTCAACATTTAGGAAAAAACTCCGCGTCGCTAAGTACACCCACCCGAGGGTTTCATGGTTTCAGTGGTCACCAACAAGATCAACAATCATTTCATCAATCATTTCAACAATCATCGGAACAATCTTTTCCTCCATCTGTTTCCCTCTCGAGAAACACTCACGCATCCCAGCGTGTGCCTCCAAGAAATCACGTGACTTCACAAGAAGGCGACCTGACCTATGATAGCCAGAGACGTTTTATCTGGGAGGGAGAAGAAAGTACCCACATGTTGCAGGCGAGGAATCGGTTCAACTTTGACCTCCAAAGTGACCTTCACAAGTCAGGTAAACAGAATGTGTTATACAGCAGGGGTGAGCAATCAGGGGCAGATAATCGAGGAGTTTTGTCGAGAGTGAGTAGTAGCAAACTCGGGGATGACTTTCCCCCCTCGCTCACTTCTCAACAAGGCAACGGTTCGTCATGGGGTGATGACTTTCCCCCCTCGCTCACTTCTCAACAAGGCAACGGTTCGTCATGGGGTGATGACCTAGATTCGGTTTTTTTCAAAACACACTCGTCTGAAACAGCACGCAGAGAAATCCACTCACACGAACGTAGAGGGATAGGGGGAGGAGGAGGAGGAGGAGGAGGAGGAGGCATCAACAGCAACAGCTACAGCAGCGGCAACAGCAGGGCTGTTGTAATTGTGCAGCCAGAGGAGGTTCTGGACACGAGCGAGCCGGAAAATGTTGTGCACATCCTGGAGGCTGGCAGCGAGGGCGGGAGTGATGATGGCGGTGTGGGTCTCCACGAGTTCCTCTCTGGAGAAAGAGGGTCAATGTATGACCGAAGGAAAAACATAAACGATTTTAACAACAACAACAATTACAACAACTACCACAACAGCAGCAGCAGCAGCAGCAACAACAGAAGTTATAGCCACAACAACAGAAGCAGTTTTAATTTGTTCACTGGGTCTCCTGCACATAGTGAACGTGTTGGAGAGTATAGCGGGGGTGTATTACGTCACAACGCGGCAGAAGAGAGTTATATCGTGCGGACACGCGCAGACACAAACGTGAGTTGCGTTATTTCTCTCAGCGAGCTCTCCGGTTCTTCTATGAGCTGTGAGGATGAAGGACACGACGACGACGACGATGATGATTATAATAGCGATGACAATGATGACTGTGTGCCGTCTTTTTCCAGAAGCAGGGCGAGGAGACCGTGGGATGAGACAGACGGAGACGGGGGAGGTAATCCTGAGGCTGGCGGGGAGAAAATCACACAGAAAATGATTGTGGAAGGACAGTTGAGGGCTCAGCCTGAAGCACTCGCAAGTGACGTAAAAACTTCCGTTGAAAATGACGTTTCGAAAACGTGTGCCTCCAAACGAGATGAAGTTATTTTTGTATTTCCGGATACTCCAGGAGGATCAGGCGAGGAGGGGGAGACAACTTCGCTTACAGAACGTTTACGAGTCGGAGAGAAATCTGGAACAGAGAGTGCTCAAAGTCTGAGTTTCAAGAAACCTCATTCAAATATTACGTCATCAGATGAACATTGTCAGAATTCTCAGAAATATCCCAAAAACGAAAGTCAAATCTTGACAGACCCGAACGTGATATTTTCTGGTCAACAGCGTGAAGTAATGAGTCCCAAGCCGAGATCTGAACACATTAGGGGTGAACATGTTTTAATTGACTGCCAGAACAACGGAGGTCCAGGGTTCGATTCTGGTCTTCAGCCCCGGTTGGTGTTAAGTAACAAGAATAGCTCTGACCATCGAGGGGCGGGGGTTTCTCACGGTTATGACATGTGTAACAGCTCAGGGGAGAGCACGGGGTTTGTCTCTCAGCGAGGGTTCGAACCCCGGACATCTGGTCAGAACAGAAACACGAACGCTGCAAAGTATCACCACAACACACAGATACAACTTATGATGGGAGGGCCGTGTGGTTCTGATGACGACTACAACGACACGGATGAGGTCGATGGTTTGGGTGATGATGAGGGGGACAACGGAAACACACCGACATCATCAACATCGTCATCATCGTCATCATCGTCTGCTACGTCCTCGGTTGCGATTGCAGACATAGACGATTCTTCAGTCGTTCACATTTTGGACAACCCAGCACGGGCTGGAACGACCATAAAACCTCTCAAACACCAACCAGCGCAACGTGTTGTGCAACAGAACGACGACTCTATCGTGTCCATATTTTCCGAATCCCCGCTCGCTGACAAACTCACACAAGCACAACAGGTTCAACATGTTCAACAGAACGAGGATTCTGTCGTTTCTATATTTTCTCAAACCCCGCTCGTTGAATCGAAGAAATCTCCCACCCTCGCCACAGTCTCGGTGACACATCCCCACGAAATCCACGAGTTACCAAAACCTGATAGTTCAGATATCGTAAGCATTTTTACAGAAGACTCCTCCAAAGTATCGCGCCAACATGACGTCACGCGACAAAGATCTGACCTGAGAGTAAGTCAGATATCCGAAGACAGTAAAGACATTTCAATAGTCAAAAACCTTTCACAACGTTTGACTAAAAGTTCATCATCTGAGAACGCGCTCCGTGACTCAGTAGACTCTGAAAATCCTCATCACTCATCGAGCTTTATGGCGAGCTCTCATGGTACTCACAAAACGAGGGCGGGGAATAAAGAAGGGAGAATTGAGACGGAGACATTCAGAAGACGGGGCAGCCTCCAACCGCCCACTCCCACCAAACCGATACACAGAACATGCTCAGACAACACGTTGCTGCTCGCAGATGGCGCCTTTTTCAAGCCGGACCAGAAATCCTGCACGTGGCCGCTAGACAGACATCAGAGACGAGTCGGTCTGACAAACTCTCCCTCCAGGAGGAAGAGACTCGAGCACCCGACAGTGTATTCTAGGTCACTATACACAGATGGCTACAGACTTAGCCCAAAACCTTCCGAAACCGATATGAGGAGAAATGTACAAGGTTGTTACTTTCCAACCACTCCTGAAGACAGACGTGTTCATTTCTATCTGGGAGACAGCGCCAGTCCTGATGGTGGCGCGTCTGACAGGGGTCAGTTTGTGAGTCCGGTGAGAGGTGACCGTTTTGGCCGAGGGGGGAGTGTGTCTCCTCTTTCTTTCGGAACAACGGCATCGCAGAGGTTTTCTCAGTCGTGCAGGTCGTGGGAAATGGGCCCATCAGAGTGGGAAATGGGCCCGTTAGGCCGGGGAAAAGGCCCATCAGAGGCGGAAAAGGACATACTGGCATGGGAAAAAGGTCCATCTGCTAACCAAGCACCACCCACCCCCACCCGCCTGTCGCCGTCAGCGTTCTCAAATAAGGACTCTTTACGAGTGACGTCACCGCGCTCACAGCTACCAGTACAAGTTTCTGTGACGTCAAAAAGTCCCACGATTACGTCACTGCGTCCAGCGACGTCACACAGTATTGTCAAGGACACACTGACGAGAATCCAGCACACACTCGCAGACACATCGACGGAGCAGGCTCCACCGTCACCCGGTCTGACGCGGAACAAAACGTCCGCCGTGACGTCATCGAGAGAGGACAGGGTGATGACGTCACCTAAGAAAAAGTCCCGCCTTAAGTTCCACCGGCCCTGGGTGTCTCCAACTAAAGATGAGGAACACGTCACTTCCGGTGACCAATCCGGGTGCCCTGAAGCTGGCGAGTTTGCTGAAAAAACTGAAGATTTGGGAGAAAATATTACGTCAGATCCTGGTCAAACAAGTCGTGAGGTCAGCACTGACCAAAGTGACGTCATGACGAGTTCACAACACCGGAATTTTTCGTTGGAAGAAGCGAGGCGGGGACTGTTGAAACAAATAGACTTTGCGTCACAAACATCCCAGCGGGAACCTAAAACTGCTCAAAAAATGTCCAGAGCACAATCATATCACCTCGACATGGTTTCCCAACCACTCACAACAAACGCCGCTGGAAAGCGACAATCTCGCTCTTCTTCGTCTTCTCCTTCGCAAACTTTGCAGAGTTCCCTCGAATCACCTCAGCCGCAAACCCCACGAAAGGACGCAGCTAAAACAACACAACCACCGCTCCTTTCCGAACGAGACATCTTCACATCGCCCCAATCTTCCTTCTGTCTTTCAGAAACAGAAAGAAAAGAGCCTATCGAAAATAAGACCTCTTCCTCTAACCCATTTATTTTACAACCCCGTCTTCCAGAAGAAGAAGAAGAAGAAGAAGAAGACAAAAGGCAGACTAACGTAAAGAAGACTCCATCCTCTAACGAATTTGTCTTTTCATCGCGTCAGCGAAACAGGCAGCAAAAAGAAGAAGATGGAGACGAAAACGACAACACCGGTGAAGGAAAGGAAGAAGAAGAAAGCGAGGAGGAGAATCTCCGAAGACAGCAGCTCTACCACCACGCTCAGCGAAGCCGGAGCCTGATAGAGACATCTCCGTCCAAGAGCGGCCCCCACAGACGGACAGCTCCGCGATCGATCAGCGAGCCCAGATGGAACAAACGACACTCGGACGGAGACTGGGCCCTGCGCTTCCTCGAGCAGACGACAATTCCGGAACTGACGTCATCAAGTACTCCTTCGCCTCTCCGTAGCCGCGAGAGTCTGATGACGCCATCCGTTTCGGGGTCTTGTCGTTCTGTGACGTCATCCGTTTCGGGGTCTTGTCGTTCTGTGACGTCATCAGGATTGGGGCCTTGTCGTTCTTTGAATTTCGCGGCATCGACATCACCCGCTGACGTAAAACTCGGATCTCAACAAGCGAAACAAATTCCAAGAGAAGAACGTTCGAGAACTTCTCAAAAAGCGTCACACACCAGCTTTCCTGTACCAGTATCTCACTCAAACGTCCCCATTTCTTCGACATCTATCGGAAACAGCCAGGTGTATTCTCATCTCTTCCAGTTACCAAATCGTTTCCAGGAGGAGTTTCGATCCGCATCTCGTCGCGGCGGACTGAGACAAAGAGATGTGGTCTTGACCCCTAGTGACCAAGGTCAACCGGGGACGACCGCAGGCAGAAGCCCTGTCGCGTCTGCTCCGAGACAGACCCCAGACAGTGGGAGTGTGAGGAGGGAAGGTGAGTGACTGTTGGATTTTACGTTACTTTTGAGACTTTGTGGGTGGTTTATGTTCTTTTCTTGTGAGTATAAGATAAGATAAGATAAGATAAAATAAGATTACAATTAATTGTTCGATGTACGTCTGTGTGTGTGTTTGTGTGTGTGTGTGTGTGTGTGTGTGT